TTAGTCTGCAACGAGGCTGACGATGACTGGATCACTGACCAACTCCGCCGTCGCGATGTCACTCCGTAAAACCCTAGCCGCCGTAATCCAACCTTCATCGCCGCCAGATTCCTCAGTCGCCGCCGTTAATCGTGAAATCTCAGAACCCTCTCATTCTTCGCCCTCTTCCTGCAGAATCACATTTCGACCCCGTAAAATCCGGAAAGTTTCATCAGATCCTCTCGATTCGTCGCCGATGATCATCACCGCTTCTCCTCTATTATCCAAATCGACGGTTAATCTCGCTCTCCTCCATCTCCAAAGCTCCGACGAACTCCTCAGAACCGTAATCGCAACCCACAACGATCCTCCAGTGTTCGATTCAAGCAGCCCTCCGTTCCTCTCCTTAACCAGATCCATACTCTACCAACAACTCGCCACCAAAGCAGCTAAATGCATCTACGATCGATTCCTCTCTCTCTTCACCGGCGGAGAATCAGGTGTTCTCCCTGAATCCCTAATCTCAATCTCCGCCGTTGAACTCCGGAAAATCGGCGTCTCCGGTAGAAAAGCGAGTTACCTTCACGATTTAGCCGGAAAGTACACAAGCGGTGTACTCTCCGATGAGATGATACTAAAAATGAGCGACGAAGAGTTGATTGATCGGTTAACTTTGGTTAAAGGGATTGGTGTGTGGACTGTTCATATGTTTATGATATTCTCATTGCATAGACCTGATGTTCTACCTGTAGGAGATCTCGGTGTTCGAAAAGGCGTAAAAGATCTTTACGGTTTGAAAGATCTTCCTGGTCCATTGCAAATGGAGCAGCTTTGTGAGAAATGGAGACCTTATAGGTCTGTTGGTTCATGGTATATGTGGAGGCTAATCGAGAAAGCGAGAACCAAATTGTCCAAATAACAACACTTGACTGGTAATAATAACACTATACCTCTCTTTTTCCATTGATTGCTCTGTTCTGAACAACAAAATTATAAGGCTGATTAGGAAGGAACCAGAGTTTGCATCTATATAGATAATCTTTGATTCTTTTATAGTGTTATCAAGTAAATTTCCATGCTTGAGACTTGGAGACTTACTTTGATTTCCTGCATTTGATATTTAGATGCCTTCATTTAGATCTTTGGAGTAGTTTCTACTTTCTAGGAATAACCCGAGATATCTCGATACTAGCATCATTTAGTATTTTATCTTGTCTTGTTGCATCAAAATCCTTGTAAAATGACTGATCCTTATTCAATGAAGCTTTCTATATCTACTATCAATAATTTTCCTATGATTGATTGTAACCGATCGGGATAATTTCAGTAACAGCTACTCGAGATCCTGTTGTTCTTGGTCGTCCAGCTAATTTGATCGTGTGAGGAAGAAGATATATCTTCTCTTCCAAGCATGCTTCACTTCTTGGAAATCTTTTGAGCTTTCCTTGTTTTGTTCATGACTTTGTAAGTTATAGCACTTGAGGGGAAAACCCTGTTTGTACTTAAATCGTATTCCACCAAAATCTAGATTTTGAGGATTTTCCTATGATTGTTGTAACTCTATGTTGAAATATTTGGAGTGATAAAGAGTATAAGGAGAAAAGAAGAGAAAGAGACAGAAGCAGAGGGCGCTAAGAGATGCGAGATAGAGAGAGGCGTGTGGAGAGTCGAAGAGATAGAGACGAATATCAAGAGTATAACGGGAGGAGAAGGGATTAGGTGAAAGAAATGTGGCATGCCATTTGTGTGAATCCATCAAATCTAGCTTTGGTAATGTAATGCAAAGAGGTTTCTTGGCTACAAAGAAGATTCTTGGTGGCTGTAGAGCAAGAACGAGGAAAGAAACTTGAGCACCAAAAGGGCTTCTTGTAGTGTACGTGGGAGAGAACCAGAGGAAGAAGCAGAGATACTCTCTTACTTGAACAAGGAGTGATTTGTTTCTTAAGTAATTTAGGTTATAAGTTTGCCAGTTGGTAGCTTATGGTGTTTGTAATTGTTTAGTCTTTGACTGCTTTTCGTTTTCTAATCTCCTTTGTTAGTGTTGCTCTCTTTTGGACATCCTCAGTAAACTTTCTTTATATTTCTTATCGAATTCGATTCTTCATTGTTCTTCATTGATTGCTCTGTCATGAACAAGAAAATTATAAGCCTGTTAGAAACCATAGTTGACATTTACATAAAAATAAAATTTTGATTATTTATAGTGTTTTTCATGCTTGACTTGGAAATTTGAACAGATGCATAAAGTTACTTTAACAACTATTATTTGACATTCAGTATCTTGCATTTGATATTTAGAGGCATTGGTAAATAGCTTTTATCTTTGTGTAGATATATGTAGTTTTCATTTTGCTTGGATTCGTTGTTTAGAGATCATGGCTTATTTCACAATTCTTTATACCATGCCTTGTACTGGGCTTGGCCCAATAACGTCTCAATCAGCCCAATTAATTATTTAATCACGAAACTTGGATCTGATTTAGCCACGTTACAAAAGGTAAATAAGAGCAACATTACAAAAATGGGCGTTTTACTTGGTGGGTTTGTAATGTGATTGTTTTATCTCTCCGTTAAGTACCTCGTTAAGTTCTAGGGACAATTTGCTCAATAACT